CACGTGAAAATAAGCTGAACCTTTGGCCAATTTATTCTTACCAAATTTAATTTAAACCCATTGAGTTTTACAAACATCGCCACTCTCCGTGGCAGGCACCCATTCGTCCCTCAGCAGGCTGGACTCTGGAAGGGTTCCCTCTGCGTGGTGAGGTCACCTGTACTTGTACTGCGGACACACTGAGACCGCGAGGGTGCGTTGTGCTGTGGGGCCACATCAGGAGGTGGGATTGGGTCCACCTGGGACACTCTGATGTGAACTCGTCCTTGGTGGGTGATTCCTGCTTGCTCAGTTGCAAAGGTGTCCAGCGTGCATTGTGGTTGGAGGGAACAGATGGAAGCCGAGGTGTGTAGATATGAGTGCCGGCGCCTTCAGTGTGGGCTGCGGGTGCACACAGAGAGGATGGGGGCCTCCGCAAGAAGACCCTGAAGTTCTTCTATGGTGTTCTCACTAGGGATGTTATGCTGCAGGGAGTTGGGGTGGGGGCCATCCAAACTGTGATGGTGGAGGGATTTTTCTAAGGTAAAACTGGACTTTTCTGTACCACTTGGCCTAGTGGTTGGGAGGTAGTCTTCATCCTAGTCGAGAACTGGGGAAGGGCAGGCAAGCTGACAAGAAAGTAGGGAAGCAGGGAAAAGGCAGCGAGAGGTACATCAGATGGACTCTTCAGGGTTCTCTCTCTCAGGGGTGGGCGGCCTTTTTCTTAAAGGGCCGGATTGTATTTGAAGCAGGCGGACCTGGCTGTGTTCCAACACAAGTGTCTTCACAGAAGCAGGTCTTGGGTTGCGCTCTGTGTGGGGTCTGTAGTTCGTTGGGTCCTGGTACTACACACATTCTTTGTGTGTTTGCTTCTTTTCCAAGTGGGTTTGGAAGTGGGACTTTTAAGTGAGACCTGCCAGTTCCTTTCTCCATGAGTTTTATTTTAACACATGTTAGTGTCTTGATGACTGAGAGTTTTGTGTGCCCATACGGTATGTATTATGTTCTGAGCTTCTGAGATAAGTGACAAAGTAGTAAGTTTCCTCTGTGTCATTGAATGGTGTTTGAATTTCATGTGCCTTCTTGTTTATATTCCTCTCCATTAGTATAGGAAAGCTACGATGGTCATTAGATACAGAAATCATTTACTTTCAGAGTATTTAAATTACTGTTGATAAACACCTTTTGTTATTGCTGATGTTAACTTATGGTAGGATCCTAGGATAGAATTGTTCCCCTTACTGCAGTGTGGTTTTTCAGCTGAGTTCTTTCATATGTTGACATTTCTGAGAAACACCCTTTGTGTTGGCCATGTTAGATTTACCAGGAAGGAAAAATAGAATATTTTGTATTCCTGGTAAACACAATAAGTGTTTAAATAGAAACAGTGTTTTAAATACTGATATCACCTAACTCTGAGAGAAAAATAGATTTCCTCTTAGGAAGCCTTCCTTAGTGAAGAGTGTGCTGTGTATTGTTATACCTGGGATGGGAGAATATGATCTAATAGTTAATTAAAAGCACCTTGTTTCTCTCTGAATGAAAATCTGAATGAGGAAGAGAAAAAAGAACAGGTTCTTTTCGTATCCTAGCATTACGATCTTTGTAGGCTGTGTGTCCTAACAAATTGTAGCTAACAAAATACAGGAGTTCTAATAACACACCCAAAGCAAATGAATTGTGCTTAATATTAAAGCAACAGATTATCCCCAAGAAGTTAATATTAAAAGCTTTCTGGCCTGAATGGCCGAGTGGAATTACCTATCTTTCTTGCAGCAGAAGTCGTAGGCTTGAAGCTGCATCTGCATCCCTCTTTCCTTGTAGGGAAGAAGGTGATTGATGTGGCTGCTGGCTCCACCCACTGCCTGGCTCTGACTGAGGACAGCGAGGTCCACAGCCGGGGGAGCAACGACCAGTGCCAGCACTTTGACACCTTGTGCGTGACCAAGCCAGAACCTGCAGCATTGCCGGGACTGGACACCAAACACACAGTGGGAATTGCCTGTGGGCCTGCCCAGGTACGGAATATAGAGCTTGATTTGGTGTTTAGGAGGATTTTGGTTTCCAGTTGTTCATTACCAGTATATAGAAAATGCCCCTGAGTGTTGTTTGTTGTTCTTACGTCCCGCAGTTGTGCTAAACTCATTTATTATGAGCTTCATTGTCGTTTCCTTGGGTTTCCTTCATGAACAATTATACTATCTGTATAGAGGGGCAGTTCCATTTCTTCCTTTCCAATCTGCCTGCCTTTTATGTCTTTTCCCGGCCTGGTTGCCCTGGCCAGGACTTGCGGTGTGAAGCTGAGTAGGAGAGGGGACAGTGGGCGCCCTGCCTTGCTCCGGACTGTAGGGGAATGCAGTTCAGTCTTTCACCATCAACTGTGATGTTGGCTGTGGGTGTTTATGTAGATGCCTTATTCCCAGATTAAGGCAGCTTCTTTAATTCCCCCTTTTAGAAGCTTTAAAAAATCCTGAATGGATGTAAAAATTTGTTAAATGCTTTTAATTTTCTCAAATGAAATGGTCCTGCAGTTTTCCTTCTTTAGTGTGTTAGTATGGTATATTACATTGATGATTTTTACTTTTTTTTTCTTAAACTTTTTTTTTTCTTTCTTAGACATAAGGTTTCACTATGTTGCCCAGGCTGGTCTTGAACTCCTGAGCTCAAGTGATCTACCTGCCTTGGCCTCCCAGAGTGCTGGGATTACACATGTGATACACCGCACCAGCCTGATTTTTAAATACTGACCAAGCCTTGTATTACTGGGATAGGCATCACTTGGCCACAATTTACCACCCTATTTCTTTTCTTTCTTTCTTTTTTTTTTTTTGAGACAGAGTCTGGCTGTGTCACCCAGGCTGGAGTGCATTGGTGCAATCTCAGCTCTCTGCAACCTCTGCCTTCTGGGTTCAAGCAATTCTCCTGCCTCAGCCTCCTGAGTAGCTCGGATTACAGGTGTGCACTACCACGCCTGGCTAATTTTTGTATTTTTTTTTTTTGGTAGAGATGGGGTTTCATCATGTTGGCCAGCCTGGTCTCCAGCTCCAGACCTCAAGTGACCCACCCTCCTTGGCATCCCAAAGTGTTGGGATTAGAGGCGTTTGCCACCGCGCCTGGTCCTGTTCTGTTTCTGTCTTGCTAACTTTGACTTGCTAACACGTTGTTGAGGATTTTTCTGTTGATGCTCATCAGGGATGTTGGTTGTGGTTGTCTGTCTTTGTGTTATACTGTCTTGTCTGACTTTCTGTCAGGGGAAACCTGACCTTATACAAAGTATTGGCGTGTATTCCCTCTGTTTCCATTTTCTATAAGGGATTGTGTAGAATTAGTGTTATTTCTTCTTTACATGT